TCATCTGTAAATACATTAATACATCAGTGTGGGAATTAAGCCTCTTAAAGGGGAACTTCGTTGTTGTTGTCTTTTAAAAGGTGAAAATGGCATACGGGGGTATATTGTAGTATCCGGTGGTATATTGTAGTATATGGTGGTACTGTGGCTGTATGGCAGTATATTACTTATGTAGTACTTAGAGAGTTGTCCTTGTATTCTCTTCAGCTTTCACTTTCCTCCGTTTGTTCCAAAGAATCCTGCGAAGTTTTCCCGCTGCTCCACACGTTGGTGGTTCAGGGCAGGAGATTAGGACGGAGACAGTTCGTTGAATGGATGTTGACAGAATCAGTGACAGTTTCCACGGCTCGGCAGCGGAGAGGAGCAGCAGACGCTTATTTATTTGAAAATGTCACGGATCGGTAATTTAAAATCTCTTGCTCAACCGCCTCCATTCCAAATACCGTCTGTGCTCTTCTGGCTGTGTGCCGCCGCTCTACTGTAAGAGAAGAGCTGCTGTAATGAGCAGGGTACCAGGCACCACATCGACCCCAGCCACACTGCTGCGAGCCTGCAGGTGGTGTGATGGAAGGGCTGTGGTGTCAGGGGGTGAGAGCTATAAATCTACTGTGTGTGTGTGTGTGTGTGTGTGTGTGTGTGTGTGTAGCAGTGTATTTAATCACATGGCAGGTATGAATAATGACGGTGGAGTCCGCTGTGTTTAATGAAAGATGGCTGTCATGGGAGAATTAAGGTTTCTTGGTGTCTGTCTGAGGCACATTCTTTAACATTTGCGTGAGTGTGTGTGTGAGTGTGTGTGTGTGTGTGTGTGTGTGTGTGTGTGTGTGTGTGTGTATTAAAGCGTTCTACTAACTACGATGATGGTTGCTCATACTCACCCCTGAACCTGGTGAATGATCCGTCCAGTGCACAGCTCACGAGCCTCTCTTCTACGTTTTTGTCTTTCCTCCACAGCGCAGACAATTTATATCAAATGACCTCTCAGTTGGAGTGTGTGGCATGGAACCCTGTCAATACACTGGCCTCCACCATGAAGAGGTAGGAACTCATCCATCGCTCCCTTCAAACAGCAGCAGTCAGTCCAGTTTGTGTTTTATCAGACGGAGGGAAACAACGACACCTTCACTGCCTGAACAACAACTTGAAGGATCATTTATTTC